ACATAACACATATTTATATTATATTATAGAGAAATGTGTTTTATGTATGTATATGTATATATATATATATATATATATATATTATATATATTGTATGTATATATATATATATTATATATATATATATATATATATATATATATATATATATATATATATATATATATATATATATATATATATATATATATATATATATATATATATATATATATATATATATATATATATATATATATATATATATATGTATATATGTGTGTATATATATATATATAATGTAGCGAGTCGGGTAATACCACGTCGCCCTGGGCACAAATCCACACCAGCTGGATCATTCATCAACCCCGGATCGCTCACAGCTGGACCTCATCAGCCAGGGAGAGATATAAGCCAGCCCCACACAGGAAGAAGTGAGCTTCATTTCACATGACTCCCTGCGCTAACGCTTGTCTCTCTCTGTCTCTCCCACAGCCGAATCCAGCTCGTGACCGATCCAACACCATACCTCTCACCAGTCTTCACCTTCTCCCCGGAGCACTTGAGCACGCACCTCTAAGAGCACTCATTCACCCCTTTACCACTTGTAAATAAAAGCACCCTCCGGGGCATTGTTTGTAACTTCATCTACGGTGTTTGTGTTTTCCCTCTGCCTCGCTACTATATATATATATATATATATATATATATATGTATATATATATATATATATATATATATATATATATATATATATATATATATATATATATATATATATATATATATATATATATATATATATATATATATATATATATATATATATATATATATATATATATATATATATATATATATATATATATATATATATATATATATATATATATATATATATATATATATATATATATATATATATATATATATATATATATATATATATATATATCAAGAACCACAATGGAAATAAACCGATGGCTTTTTTTATTCTCAACAGTTTTAAAATGTGAATTTAAAAATGAGTTTATTTTTATTTTTTAAAGATTTTTTATTACATTTTATGACAGTTAAACAAACAAAAATAAAAGAGAAAATGACAGTACAAATAAAAAACTAATACAAATATATTCTCACTCCCAGGGCCGATTATATCGAAGTTGATATTTAGCTGCACCATGTTGGTGTTGCGTAACATCTAGTTTTTTATTATGTGGGTTGTTAGCCCAATGCTCAACCCCCAACCTGGAGGATCAGGACATGCACACACATACACTAAAATATATAATAAACATAATATAACAGTACAAAACAATTAATAAAAAAAATAAACCACACTACAGTATAACCCACATATTGTACAACAAACAGTATATGATGTGCATAAAGAAATGATGTTCATAAACAACATACAGTGCTCATTATATATGCTCACACCCCTCACAGATCTCTCTTTTAAATTCATATTTTTTAATACAAAATTATATGTGTGCACATACATTAGATTAGTCAATACTGAAGCCAAATCTGGAGCTCATCTAACAAAATAACTTACAATAACGGTCTTAAAACTAGTACAGCCAAATTTATACGTTACAGAAAAATATTAAATGCAAATTTATCAAAGAGGAAAAATCAAGAGAAGCAAAAGAAAAAAAATGGTTGAAATTTTGTAGTTTGTAATTTTTTTGAGCAATATTTCGCCTGAATTTAATTGTATTATCTTTCAATTTCTAAATATGCTTAGTGACTAAAATATTATTTTAATAAAAATATCTATTTAATAAATCTGTTTTGATTAAATGCACCAGAATACATTGCATTGGAGAAAAATATTAATTTTCAAAATAAGCTGTACTCAATTATGCTGAGAAATGTATAAAATAATAATAAATATATAAATAAAGCACACTATAACCCACATATTGTACAACAAACAACATATGATGTGCCTTCATTTATACAAATTAAGCAGACAAACAGGTCAGTACTAAGTTTTCTTAATTTTTTGTGTGTTGTTTTGACATTTTTTTCCCAAATAAATTCAGACACAATCATAATAAAACTTAAAAAAATTAAATAAAATTTGAAATACTAAAATGACTATCAAAATAAAAGTGTATTTAAATGTTTATAAAAAAAAATCCACGTTAAATATAACCATAAAACATACTAAGAAAATATACAGAATCGTTAAAAAATTTAAAAGAGGGAAAAATGAAATTAAACCTAATTCAAAACATGAATATGCATCATAAAGGTGTATTGGGGATACTAAAATATCTACTAATGTACCAAAATAACTTTGGTGTCTCATTACTTTAACAAGCAATGAAGTCTTGAATCTGCACGTGCTTCATAGATGAACTGATGGAGCAAATAATAATTAAAACTCAAATAATTACGTTCAAAATAAAAAAATAATCATATTTAAATAACCTGTTGAATATTCAAATTCATTCAAATTAATATATTGTTCAACTGGTAACTGTAAGAAGCATGTTAAATCACTGTGTGTGTGGGGAGTGTGTGTTTGCAATGTGGAGTGTGTGTGTGCAGCTCTGGTTTCAGGCTCACTGTGATTGACATTGGTCAGCACTGTTAAATAAAGCTGCACAAGTATTTGTGGGAGTGGCAGAGGTGCAGCTTTACCGCGAGCTCATTGGCTGATCGCCCATCACTCAAAACCCTCTGCCACGTGCTCAACAACACATGCCCATTTCACAGAACACGATTATTATTAGGAAGCGTACGGTTTTATAAACGCATACATTAAATATTTAGATTCACACTAATAACAAACCATTAACTAAGACTTAAAAATAAGTACTAAAATTACTAATAAAATAAAAATGTGTTTAAATTATAATAAAAATAAGCTAAATAACACCCACCCCATTACAGAACATGATTACTATTTGGCAGCTTAAGGTTTTATTGATGCATACATTACAATTTTTGATCAATTTAAGATTCACGCTATTAACAAGTCAATAACTAAGACATTCAGCTTAATATACGAATAATTATCTTTTTATTAATAGTTAGTAAGGTAGTAGTTTATTTTAGGTATTGGGTAGGATTAGGAGCATGCTTTATTAGTGCTAATAAACAGTTCATATCTTAATAATAGGCTGGTCATAAGCCAGTCATTAATTAATTGTTACATACTATGTCCCAAAGTCACGTCAGGCATATTTAGATCTTGTTGAAAGACTATTTAAGGGTCACATTTCAGCCTTAAAATAGTAATAAACGATCATTTGAAGTCTTTATTCTTTGCGACTAAGCTTTAAATCACTATATTCGGCACATTAATAAGAATAAATTTGTTTTATTTGTGCATAAACATGTATTTTATGCTGAATTAATATCAAATGTTAGTTTACCCATATTTTAATTGTTGGATATTTCTGAAACTTTTAAGTGTAGTCACTTTTTTAATGATTTTTATAAATATATTATAATTTTAATTTGATGTCAATTGATGCAGAAACCCAAATTTGCACGTCTCATGTATTACTTTTACAGTAAGGTGTCCTTGTTACATGTTCCATGTACTTACTATAGTGATTATGGTCAGACTTTACAATACGGTTTCATTAGTTAATGTATTTTCTAGCATGATCTAATAATGAACAATACTTGTACAGCATTTATTCATCATAGTTTAATGCATAGGTCAATGCATTATTAACATCCAAACTCGTGCTTGTTAACATTAGTTAATGCACAGTGAGCTAACATGAACTAACAATGAACATCTGTATTTACATTGACTCATGTTAACTTACATGAATTAATACTGTCAGAAATGTACTGTTCATTGTTTGTTCATGTTAGTTCAATGCATTAACATGAACAAATACAACATTATTATCATCAAGTGTTACTGTAATTACAATAAATACATGCAACTGCTGTAGACTTAGTCCTCGCATAATGTACCTTGTAGTAAGATGAATAGTTTCAGTGTATTAAGGACGCCTTAAAATAAAGTGTAACCTAATTATTATTATTTTAATACATATTCCAGGTTTTCTGAGAGGACATGAATAATCTCTGGACTGTGTTCATATTTACTGTAGCCCTCAGGGGTAAGTGATGGATTTCTCTGTGTTTAGTTTCTGGATGTTTGCTGATATGTTGCTATATTTACTAATTGCTGAGTTTTATCTTTATGAAGTGTGTTTGGGAATTCTCAAAGATATACAGTTCATCCCAAACTGAAAAAACCTGTGGTAGTTAACTCATCCTCCACTTTTTTTTTTAAATCTGATTGAGGTTTAAAGTGTTAAACACTGTTTTGCAGATTTATGTGGGTGTTGGAACTTGGCAGGTTCCTGCAGATCATTAATAAATAATACAATTTTTGAAATATTATGAGAGTTTAACTTTACTCTTCAGCGGCGGTGGAGTCCAGCTATGGGACCCAACATTCATTAATTAATTTATTTAGCTGTCTTATTTTTTTACTTTTTATTCAAATGAAAATAATAATAACAAATGCAAATGCATCAAGTCAATTTGCATGCTCAAAACTAGATATTTTGCACGCAGAAAAGTTTTTTTTACTTACAACAAGTCATTTTGCAAGCTCAAAGCATGATGTTTTGCATGAAGAATTATTAAAGTGCATGCAGCAAGTCATTTTGCACGCTCAAAACATGATATTTTGGTCACAGAATTATTAATGTGCATGCAACAAGCCAATTTGCATTCTCTAACCATGATATTTTGCGCACAAAATTGTTAACTTGCATGCAGCAAGTCATTCTGCATGCTCAAAACAGGATCTTTTGTGTGCAGAATTATTAACGCACATGCAACAAGCCATTTTGCATTCTTAAAATATTATATTTTTTTCCTAAAATCATTAACTGTCATGCAACAAGGTAATTTGCATGCTCAAAACATGATCTTTTGCACACAAAATTATTAACACACATGTAACAGTTAATTTTATGTGCTCAAAACATAAACCTGTGTGCACAGAATTGTTAACTCACATGCAACAAGTAATTTTCTATGCTCAAAGCACGTTCTTTTGCATGCAGAATTATTAACACACGTGCAACGTCAATTTTGCACGCTCAAAACATGATCTTTTGCACACAGAATTGTTAATGTGCATGCAACAAGCCAATCTGCATTCTCAAAATATCATATTTTGCACTCAAAATTGTTAACTTGCATGCAACATGTAATTTTGCATGCTCAAAACACGCTCTTTTCCGTACAGAATTATTAACACGCATGCAACAAGTCATTTTGCACACTCAAAAAATTATCTTTTGCACACCCAAATTGTTAGTGTGCATGCAACAAGCCAATTTGCATTCCGCAAAACATGATCTTTTGCACACAAAATTGTTTATTTGTATGCAACAAGTAATTTTGCATGCTTAAAATATGATCTTTTGCATGCAGAATTATTAACATGCATGCAACAAGTGAATTTGCATGCTTTAAACACAGAATTGTGGCATGAATACTGCTCCATATTCATTCATATTCAAAGAAGTGAATGAATGTGTTGACTGCTGTCGTCTTTCGGGCTGCAGTGGGTGTTGGCCAGTTCCTCCAGACGGCCGAGCTGCAGGTGTTTCTGGGAGAGTCTGTGGTTCTGCCCTGCAATGGTTCTGGTTTCCCAGCGGACGAGCTGCAGGTTTACTGGGAGGCCCTTGGGAAAGACGTCCTCTCTCTGAATGGAGAGAAACTGAGCATCGGCAGAGGTTTTGAAGACCGGGTGAACTTCATCACAGATCCGGCAGTGACTCAAGATTTCTCCATCATCCTGACAGACGTGATGCTGAACGATGGAGAGATTTACGAGTGTCTGTGGAAGGGAACGATACCCATCTGCTCTGTCTTACTGTATGTGATGAGTAAGTACCACAAGAAACAACATAATTATTGGGTCATTTTTAGGTGTCACTTTACAATGAGGTAGTATTAGTGATGTATTTACTAACGTAAACAATTGCTTCAGGACTTATTCATCTTTATTTACCCCAGTTAATGGAAATAGAGTTGTTCGTTAACTCACAGTGCATCAACTAATGTTAACAAGCGTAAATTTGGATTTTCACAATGCATTAGGTTGCGTTGAAGTATGATTAAATGCTGTACAAGTATTGTTGATTATTAGTTCATGTCAGTAAATGCATTAACTGATGAAACCTTGTTATTATAAAGTGTAAGCCATTTTTGCATTCATTTTAAGTACTGATATCTGTTTTTGTAAATGCATAGTCTAGTTCTAGCTTATACAGGGGCTGGACAATGAAACTCGAAGGCCTGGTTTTAGAGCACAATAATGCATTAGTATGGTGTCGCACCTCTTTTGTGGCTAATACAGCATCAGTTGGTCTTGGAAATGACAGACATGCATCCTGCACAGCGGCCAGAGAGATTTTGAGCCGCTCTTTTTGCAGAGGAAAATGTTGACTCACTCCTCCAAAACACCCCAAAGTTGCTCAATAATATTTAGTTCTGGGTACTGTGCAGGCCATGGGAGATGTTAAACTTCACATTCATGCCCATCAAAGTCAAATCACCAGTCTTGCCGTGTGTATTGATGTACTATCATCCTGATACATGCCACCGCCTTCAGGATGCACTGTTTGATCCATTTGGTCACATGGTTTGACAAAATGGTTTGGTAGTGCTTGGCAGTGACCCAGTGCCCATCTAACACAAGAATTGGGCCTAGGGAATGCCATGATATATTTAAGCCTAAACTCCTCCATGGACCTCCACCTTATCGTGGTGGAGGGGTTTGAGTGCCTGAGTGATCCTAAGAGCTATGTTGTCTGGGGCTAATGGAGGGTTTCCCAAGGCAAAAAGGTCTTATGAGTACAAAAACATCAAGGACCGTGAAGTTGCCCGGTATGGCGCAGCCGGGACCCCACCCTGGAGCCAGGCCTGGGGTAGGGGCTCATATGCAAGCGCCTGGTGCCTGGGTTTTTTCCCATGGAACCTGGCCGGGCTTAGCCCTAAGGAGCGAAGTAGGACCATCCTTCTGCGGGCCCACCACCAACAGGGGGAGTCGTAAGTGGCCAGTGCATTGTGGACTGAGTGGTGGTTGAAGGTTAGGACTATGACAAACTGACCATCGGGCACAGAAACTGGCTCTTGGGACATGGAATGTCACCTTACTGAGAGGGAAGGAGCCCGAGCTTGTGCAGGAGGTGGAACGGTACCAACTAGAGATAGTTGGGCTCACCTCCACTCAACTTCTTGAGAAGGGCTGGACTTTCTTCTACTCTTGAGTTGCCCACAGTGAGAGGTGGCGGGCTGGTGTGGCCTTACTTATAGCTCCCCAACTTAGCCACCATGTGTTAGAGTTTTCACCGGTGAACGAGAGGGTCGCCTCCCTGCGCCTTAGGGTCAGGGATAGGTCTCTTACTGTGGTCAAGTATCTTGGGGTTTTGTTCACGAGTGAGGGAAGGATGGAACATGAGAATGATAGGCGGATCGGTGCAGCGGCAGCAGTAATGCGGTCAATGTACCGGTCCATTGTGGTAAAGAAGGAGCTGAGCCGAAAGGCAAAGCTCTCGATGTACTGGTCAATCTATGTTTCTACTCTCACCTATGGTCATGAGATTTGGGTCATGACCGAAAGGACACGATCCTGGATACAAGCGGCTGAAATGAGTTTCCTTCACATAGTGGCAGGGTGCACCCTTCTAACTAGGGTGAGGAGCTCTGACACCCGGGAGGAGCTCGGGGTAGAGCCGCTGCTGCTTCACATCGAGAGAAGTCAGCTGAGGAGGCTCGGGCATCTGATTCGAATGCCTCCTGGATGCCTACCTAGGGAGGTGTTCCAGGCATGTCTCACCGGGAGGAGGCCTCAGGAAAGACCCAGAACACGCTGGAGGGACTATTTCTCTTGGCTGGCCTGGGAACGCCTCGGGATTCCCCCGAAGGTGCTGGAGGAAGTGTCTGTGGAGAGGGAGGTCTGGGTTTCTCTCCTAAGACTGCTGCCCCCGCGACCCGGCCCGGATAAATGGATGAAAATGACATGACATGACATTGAAGCCCAAACCATCCCTGATCCCAACAATGTTTCACTCTGGGCATCAGCAGTCTGGGTGGTATCTTTCTTTGAGGCTTCACCACACTGTAACTCTACCGGATGTGGGAAAGCCAGTAAACGTGGACTTAACAGAGAACAATACATGTTTCACATTGTCCACAGCCCAAGACTTCCTCTGCTGGCACCCACACTCACCTGGGTTAAATATCATGTTTCACATCATACACAACAAACACATCTGCTGATTAAATAAATAAATGGCCTTTCAAAAGTCAAAGTCTGTCTCGTTCTCTCTCTTGTGTTTGTTCAGCTCTAGAGACTCCCATAGATCACGTGGAGTCGAATGAAGGTGATGATGTCACGCTCAACTGCTTCGGTAATATTCCCAAAAACAAACCCTATGAGGACATCACCATCCAGTGGGTTAAAGACGAGCGAGTGATCCTGCGCTTGAGCTCTGGACAGATGGAGATTCTGGACAAGTACAGCAGCATCATCACATTGCCAGACCAGCAGGACATCAGCCGCGGGATCTTCTCTCTGGGCATCTCGTCGGTCAGAGCGTTTGATCAGGGGGATTATCAGTGCCGATACAAGATCTCGGATTATGGAGACCTACAGAGCGGATTCCCGGAGAGACACGCACTCACTGTCTGGGGTACGGATGTGCTGAAAGGGAAATTTGATCCAAAAATCAACATAAGTCTTACAAATAAAGCTTTAATACGCTTATTTCACACGGCCACCATTTTAAAACACGAAAGCAACGCTACAATGGGAAGAAACCCGGAAGTATAGGACCAGCACTGTAAACATTGCAGCAACATGCCGTGGACTACAAACCTCCAGCTGTTGCTGAGATTTCAAAGTGCAGATGTGGTGTAAACATCACTTTAATATCACTCAGTTCAGTTTAATTTGAACAAATAAAAGCAGATTAGGCATCAAACAACATCACAATCTCTTAAGAGTTTCACGCTTATTGCCTAGTTCAGACTGCGTGATTTTAGCCCTGATTTTGGCTCGTCGACAGGTTTTGAGAAATCGCAGACAAATGCCTGAAATCACAGGCAAATCGCTGCCCGTGCGCGTGAGTGACAATCACACAGTATGAACGATCAAAGACGCGATCTGAGAGAATCGCCGATGCCTGTGAGATATTTGGCGTGCTGAATATCTGGAGCTGTCGGAATTGAATTGAGTTTTGACTGAAAATAACATCAGCGATCGCCTACAGCCAATGAGAGAGCGGCATTCACTTGTGTGTGTGCGTGTGTGTGTGTGTGTGTGTGTGTGTGTGCGTGTGTGTATACCTGCTGCAGGCCAGCGGGAGGCTGGGGGAGAAGTTAAAAGCGCTCATTTTCGGTTTATTTGGACCCACGAAATGGAGGAAAAACTAGTGGAGGTTTGACAGGACTCAGGAGCAACCGTGTCTGTTTGACATTTCATACAGAAAGAAATTCGTTTATTATCAACGTTAAGGAGAAATGGCTTCCCTTTAAACCCAGGTGAGCAAACATGTACATGTTCTACCCCATTAAAGGCTTCTTTCTCGTTATGTAGTTAATAACAAAAGATATACGACGTGTTTTTGGCTGTGAGACGTAGTTTGGACGAAGTTGTCGGCGATTCTTCCTATAGTAAAGTCATGCAATGTGAATGTCCATGTCGTCGATCCATCTTGCAGTGTAAACAAAGCAGCGACGAAACGCCAGCCCAGATAGTCATGCAGTGTGAAAACATCTGTGACACGACTACTGTGAAAATCATGCAGTCTGAACTCGGCATAAGTGTCCTCCTAGGCTTCTCTGCTTCAGCCTATGTAACCCGGTGAGTGATGAAACACCGCAGTCCTCTGTAGCACACCTCGTGTTGTCTGTTATAGTGTTCTGTCGGTACTGAAGTTTTAAAAATGTCCATTTCCCGCTAACTATCAAGCACCACTGAGCGTTCTTAAACTGTTCGCCAGTGCTCAACAGAAATGACTGTGATTGGCCGTGAAGGTCATCAGTTCACCGCTCTTCACCGAGTGCAAACACAGATACACGGACACTGGGCATGGGCTGGTTTAAGATACTGACGGTATGATGAACTTGGATAAAAATATCACGGTATTGTGATTTCTGCTCTAAAATATATTATTTTTAAATGTCATTTTTGAGCTCAATATATTTTATTTTGAGAGACATTTCAAATATTTCGGAGCTGTAAACATGTCAGGCTAAATTAATTATTATGGTGGCTTGAAAAGCCAACATACTGTTATCTCACTTAAACTTCTTTCTTCTGAGACTAGTTTTGAAGTGCATCTCCTCCTAAACCTTTCAAGCTTCATACTTCAAACTTTCCTCAAACCTTCAAACTGGTCTGACTCGGGTTGCTATGTCTTTTCTAACTGATCCGACTTTGGGTTTTCCCAAAAACGACCCAGAAAATTCCCATTGACTTAACATTGGGTCAAACTTTGTGAGCTCATAACTCTGCATCAGACTGTCCTACAGACTATTAACTGGGCTCATTTAACTCAGTCTAGCCAGCAGCCAATAACTGATGACTTTTTAACTTACTAGCCACTCCCTAGCAACCACTTGTGGCGCCCTAGCAACTGTCCATAGACTTCCATTGTAAAAGACTGCCATTGACTTAACATTGAGTCAACCTTTGTGAGCTCATAACTCTGCATCAGACTGTCCTACAGACTAGAGTCAGGCCTTATTCAACTCAGTCTAGCCAGCAGCCAATCACTGATGACCTTTAGACTTACTAGCCACTCTCTAGCAACCAATTTCAGCACCCTAGCAACTGTTTTGAAAACTATGACTAGCTGTTCTAACACATGCTAGTAGTTTTAACATGCTAATCTTGCTAGAAACATGCTAATGACACGCTAGTCATGCTAGCACATGCTAATTCATGCTAACAACATGCTAATTCATGCTAGTAACATGTTAATTCATGCTAGAATCATGCTAGTAATGTGCTAATTCATGCTAGAATCATGTTAACAGCATGCTAATTCATGCTAGAATCATGCTAGTAACATGCTAATTCATGCTAGAATCATGCTAACAACATGCTAATTTATGTTAGAATCATGCTAGTAACATGCTAATTCATGCTAGAATCATGCTAGTAGCATGCTAATTCATGCTAGAATCATGCTCGTAGCATGCAAGTTAATGCAAGAAACTTGCTAACAACATGCTAATTCATATTAGAATTATGCTAGTAATATGCTAATTAATGCTAAAAACATGCTAGTAACATGCTAATTCATTCTAGAAACATGCTAATTCATGCTAGTGACATGCTAAAACATGCTAGTAACATGTTAAATCATGCTAATAACATTCTGATTCATGCTTGTAACATGCTAATTCATGCTAGTAACATGCTAATTTTGCTAGAATCATGCTAGTAACATGCTAATTCATGCTAGTAACATGCTAATTTTTGCTAGAATCATGCTAGTAACATGCTAATTCATGCTAGTAACATGCTTATTCAAGCTAGAATCATACCAACATGCTATTTACACTTTAAAACCCCTTCAAACTTTCAGACTCTGCTTTTCAAGCCACCATAAAGTTTGTCCTCAATTTTTAATATCTAGTTGACTTCTGCTGTCTTCATTTGTTTCAAAAACTATTTTTTAGATATATTTTCTGCTAAAGATACTTTTGTCCTTACTTTAGTCTCTCTCTCTCTCTCTTTCTCCTTCTCTCTCAGCTGTGTTTTCAGGTCTCCCGGCCATCACAGATTTTCCTTCCAGTTTGTCAGACACAGAGACTGACAGCACAGCAGCAGCCTCTACATATGCTACAGATACATATGAAACAGATACATATGCCACAGATACATTTGTCAATGATGCAAATACCACAGATACAAACGCCACAGATTCATATGCCACATATACATATGTCAATGATACATATACCACAGATACAAACACCACAGCTTCATATACCACATATACAAATGGAACAGATTCATATGTCAATGATACAAATACCACAGATATAAATGCAACAGATTCATATACCACATATACAAACGCCACAGACACATATGCTACAGATACATATGCCACAAGCACTCAGACTGAACCCAACAACACGCTGCCAGCTCACACAGCATACGAAGCCAACACACACACTCACAACGGCAGCACAGAGAGAAACACTGAGAAAAGCACCAGCGCAACTGACACTGACCCGCACACAATCTCACACAGTCACGGTTAGTGCTGCTCAATACATGCCTTATTAATTATTGATATTTCATTATGACCCCAAGCCCAGACTTCTGCTTTATTTTAGCTGAACAAACACATACATACAGTTAAAGTCAAAATTATTATGATTTTTTCCCCCCAAATATTTCCCAAATAATGTTGAACAGATTCAGGATTTTTTCTCAGTATGTCCTATAGTTTTTTTTTTCTTTAGAAGAAAGTCTTATTTGATTAATTTTCGCTTGAATAAAAGCAGTATTTTAATTTTTAAAAATATTTTTAATAAATTTTTTAATTTTTTGTCTCCAGAACAAACCACTGTTATACAATGCCTAATTACCCTAACTTTACCCTAATTAACCTAGTTAACCCTTTAAATGTCACTTTAAGCTGTATAGAAGTGTCTTGAAGAATATCTAGTCTTATATTATTTACTGTCATCATGACAATGATTAAAGAAATCAGTTATTAGAGATGAGTTATTAAAGGGCCAGGAAACCCCCTCGTTTCAGCAGGGTGTTTTCACACCTCTACTTTGGAAAAAGTCAAAAAAGTGGGCGTGTCCAGCTCTGTTTAGGGGGGAGTGTCGGAGGAACTAAAGTGGGAGGGTGTGGGAGTGTCTATTTGGTCACGCGCGAGTTTCAGAGTCAAAATAAACACACAGGAGAAAGTGATGGTGTTTAACCTACATGTGGTGGACTTTAACTGCAGTTTGGCTCTTTCATTCAGGGAATTCATTCATCCCCCTCGCGACAAACGAGATATTTGATTCGAGGAGCTGCTCTAAGCGTGTATTTTACATGCAATGTTTGATACCGCACGGCGAATGAGAGGAAAAAACCCTCCGCATTTCCCGGAAATTTAGATGCACACGGCAGGTAGCGTCAGAAAGCCGCGTGTGTTATTCCGGTCACTAAATGCCGTGAAAACCCTACACGAAGTTAAAGTTTGGTTGTGGTGCTAACATGTTTACACTCGGTGCAATAGTTAACTTAGTTCGATACGAACAAACTGAATAAACAAAGAGCACTGCTCGCTCACTTACCAAATCTGTAGAGACAGGACAATCACCAGCAACTAGAGCCGCGTCTTTATTAAGAGGAGACTACAAGCGAATCCGGATCTCAGCGTTTGCAGATGAGAACAGCTCTCAGGTAAACAATAATCCTCCTTAGACACGTAAGTTATTGTTGTCGAGCGTCGCATACACTGTTAATCCACACGTGAGTCCAGCTGCGCTCTCACAGAGAGAAAATGAAAACAAAACTATAAAAGCAACACTTCACTTGTTTTGCCAACACAACGTGGCGTCTCTGTCGTCTAAACACTGTGACAGTAATGAATATTAATGAAGATGCACAATAGAGCGTGCTGATTGGTTTGAACCAAGCCTTACTCATGCATTAATGCAGCACACTGTAAGACGTAATAAGACACACTCTGGCACAGACGTCCAGTCTGCACGCTGGAATACACGCTATTATGTCATGACCGTGACGCAGCTTCAAAAATTCGTTTCAAACCGGAAGTACGAATTTGCTTGAAATAACGCAAAAACAACCAATTTACACTTTTTAGTGAAATATAGGTGTCCTAATAGTGTTTTTAGCAGTGTGGGACACATATACCACTGTCAACAGCTCAACACATGTGTTCTGGTGTTTCGTGACCCTTTAAAACTATTATGTTTAGTAATGCATTGAAAAAAAAAATCTGCTCTCCATTAAACAGAAAGTGGGGAAAAAAAATAAACAGAGGGGCTAATAATTCAGGGGATTTAATAATTCTGACTTCAACTGTAATGCTTTATAGCAGACGTGACCAACCCTTTTCCTGGCGATCGACCTTCCTGCAGATTTCAGTAGCAACCCATATCAAACACACCTGCCTGTAATTATCACGTGCTGTTCAGGTGTGTTTGATCAGGGTTGGAGCTGAACTTTGCAGAAAGGTTGATCTCCAGGAACGGGGTTGAGCGTCACTGCTTTATAGTGTCTTTATAGTGGCCGTGTTTTTAAACTAACATCTGATCTATATGTTTTTTCTTTCTTTTAATCTCTCCTAGGGATGACCGATACGTTATTACCAGGCACAGTTTCCGGTCAGTGGTATTTACTTTTTTCTCTAATGATTTATCAGTATTTAAAGTTTGCTTGAGATAAAAATTGTACAATGTTTATTTTTCTAGCACACATTGTTAATCTGTAATTCAGTGCAGGTGAATCCACTGAATAAAAGCTGGTTTATTTTTACCATTATCTATCCAGCCTTAATTGTATTTGTTCTTCTAATCAGACTTGACAAACACAGTCTACAGAAAAACTTTGATGAAGGAATGTCAATCAGAGGGGAAAGCCCCGCCCACTAGTGACCATCACTTGCTCATTTGCATAAACAGCATCCCTGAGTGTGAAGCAGCCGTCTGTAGAGTGATTCAGCTGCTGAAGATAATGTCAGCATAGACTAAAAGGATTATAGATGTGGAGTTTTAGATGAAGCACAAATCAACAGCGACATCGACTGACAGAAGCATTAAGCACACACTGACCAACGACAACATGCAGATCTGACCAGCACTGATAGCATTAGTCCTATTTTGGAGCTGCCACTATGCTGATGCAAATGCATTTGTAGCTCCGCCCTTTTCATGAAAGAGCACAATCTCATTTGAATTTAAAGCGACAGTCACCAAAACGCCACAATGTGGATCAAGGCCTAAAAGGGTCAGCTTCAGAGAGTTAGAGAACATTATCTGTGTGGTATTTTGAGCTGAGACTTCACACACACACACATACACACTCTAGAAACATCAGAGACTTATTTTACATCTTGTAAAAAGAGACATAATAGCTCCCCTTTAAGACTAACAATGTGTGCTAGCAAAATAAACATTGCAGATTTACATCAGATGCAGAGATTAAAGTGTGCTGTTTGTGGTCAGGTCAGCGGGATCATCAGTTCTCAGATCAGCAGATTCCCTGGATCCGCATCGGTCTGATTTCTGGAGTTCTGCTGGTGACGGCGCTGCTTTTAGCTTTCCTGTTGTTGTCGGGGAGAATCTGATTCAACAGGACGAACATTAAGATGCAGGGAATCAACTTTCAGACATTTCCATGCAAACCGCTCATTTCAGGAACTGTGAATGTTTTAAAATATATTGTTTTGTGTGTGGAGCAATACTGTAAAAAGGCCCTGTGAAATTAGGATAACTTTTTTTTAGATGTTAGTTTTACTGTTAGTTTTAAGGATAGCCATTAGCTCGTGTTCTCCAGAAAAGTGATAAAATTTCCATTTAGAAGATATAAACCTGATGTAAACATGTGAAGCTTGTATTTTGTAGTTTCCGCCTAAAAGGATCAACAGTTTTATTCAGGTGGCCTCATACTTTAGCTTCGCATTAAATCTTCTGACCAATCAAATGCTCTCTAGTGTCTGACATGCCCCGCCTACTTCTTCTCATTGGCTTTTCATTTGATGCGCTTAAACTCGGCCCCTCACTGGCAGAGCTGTGAGAAAAACAAAACCCTATTGGCTGTTTTTTTAAAGGGGAGGGGCTACTATATGCCCAACCCTCTTTTCATGTTTCAATTTAGATTACGTCAAACATCCAATAAAAACCAAATTAACATTTTAAGCACTTCACAGAACCTTTAATACTTTAATAAAATCTCCAATATATCACATCATTTTTTTGTTCTTTAGCTTTGATTTATTAACTAATCACACATTTTTCTTAATATGAATATTTGGAAAGTTTGTGAAATTGAAATGTGTTTAAATATGTTGAATTCTCTGGTGATATTTCTGACCATTGGAGTTTTGCCGAATGGTGCTGTTCATTTATGTGGCTGTAAATGCTGCTTTATTTGTCTTTAAATGGGTATTTATTGTTTGTGAAATATATATATATATATATATATATACACACAGCTGAAACCAGAAGTTTACATACACTCTAAAAAAAGGAACATAACCATGTTTTAAAAATGTCTGATGGTAAATCATACTACAAAACCTTTACTATTTAAGGTCCGTTAGGATTACCTAAATGATTTACATTTGCTAAATGCCAAAATAATGAGAAAATTAATTATTAGAGAATTTTTTTTATTAGTTTCTAGACGGTCAAAAGTTTACACACATTTCCTTGCTATTGTTTTAGCTTTGCTTTTAAACTGTACAACTTTGCTCAAATGTTTTGGGTATCCTTCCACAAGCTTCTCACAATGGTTTGCCCATTGACAGAATTGGTGTAACCGAGTCAGATTTGTTGGCTGTCTTGCTCGCACAAGCTTTTTCAACTCTGCCCGCAAATTTTCTACAGGATTGAGATCAGGGCTTTGTGATGGCCACTCCAAAACATTCACTCTGTTGTTCTTAAAGCACATTTGACTAGTTTGGCAGTGTGCTCAGGGTCATGGTCTGTTTGGAAGAGCCATTTGTGGCCATGTTTTAATGTTCTGGCTGATGTCTTGAGATGTTGCTTCAGTATTTCTCCATAATGTTCTGTCTTCATGATGCCGTCTATGCTGTGAAGTGGACCAGTCCCTCCTGCAGCAAAACTGCCCCACAATATGATGCTGCCGCCCCCATACTGCACAGTTAGGATGGTGTTCTAGGCTTGTGCGCTTTCCTCTTTGTCCTCCAAATGTAACACTGCTCATTATGACCAAACAGTTCAATCTTAGCTCCATCAGAGCACAGGACATGTCGCCAAACATCAGTCTTTTCCCCAGTGTAATTCAGCTAATGGTAATCTGGCTTTGTTGTTGATTCTGGCTTGTTGATTTTCTCATGGTGTCACACAGGGAAGCAGTGTGTTTGAGCTTTTCCTTCAATACTATTCTACAGTTGTGCCTCACATTAACTCAAATGTTGTCAATTAGCCAATCAGAAACTTCCAAAACCCTGACATCATCATCTGAGCTTTTTCAGAGGCAGAATAATCTTACTGTGTGTAAACTTGACTTTCAAGAAAAGTTATAACAATTTCTCAATAAATATCTCTCTCATTATTCTGCTATTAAGCAGAACAAAAACACGGGTGATAATCTCTTACCTAACAGAGAAAAAGTTTAGTCACTTTACCATCTGACTTTGTATAAAAAGGCACCACATAACCATTTAAAAAAAGTGTATGGAAACTACTGGTTTTAACTGTATATATATATACATACAGTTGAAGTCAGAATTATTCACCCCTTTTGATTTGTTTTTCTTTTTAAAATTTTCCCCAAGTGATGTTTAACAGAGCAAGGAAATTTTCACAGTGTGTCTGATAATATTTTTTCTTCTGGAGAAAGTCTTATTTGTTTTATTTCGGCTAGAATAAAAGCAGTTTTAAATTTTTTTTAAACCATTTTAAGGACAATATTATTAGCCCCTTTAAGCTAATTTTTGTTTTGATTGTCTACAGAACAAACCATCGTTATACAATAACTTGCCTAATTACCCTAACCTGCCTAGTTACCCTAATTAACCTAGTTAAGCCTTTAAATGTCACTTTAAGCTGTATAGAAGTGTCTTGAAGAATATCTAGTCTAATATTATTTACTGTCATCATGACAAAGAGAAAATAAATCAGTTATTAGAGATGAGTTATTAAAACTATTATGATTAGAAATGTGCTGAAAAAAAAAATCTGCTCTCCGTTAAACAGAAATTGGAGAAGAAAAAAAAAATAAACGGGGCGAATAATTCTGACCAACTGTGTTTGTGTGTGTATAAATATATATATATATATATCTGTGATGTGTGTTGATTCTTTCAGGGTCAAATTTACAAACATATGCACCCAATATATATTTGCCAACTACTGACTGTGTTTCATATATCATATCAGCATTTTTTTCTATACACAACACAGGGGTGTCTAAACTCGGTCCTGGAGGGCCGGTGTCCAGCAAAGTTTAGTTCCAACCCCAATCAGACACACCTGAGCTAGCTAATCAAGCTCTTACTAGGCTTTGTAGAAACATCTTTGCAGGTGTGTTGAGGCAAGTTAGAGCTAAAATCTGCAGGACACCGACCCTCCAGGACTGAGTTTGGACACCCCTGACATAGCAGGTACATATTGGGCCAAGGAAGAATGTGAAATGTATAGCGATTAATAATGCCTCTCGAAAAACACCAAGGTGGACGCTACAGACAGCCTGTAACAAGAGACCAAGCGTTTAAAAAAACTCATAAAATGTTTGTCAGTTGTTATTAAATCTTCAGGTTTTATGGCACACATTGATTAGGAACGTAAAGCTTGCTTTGTCAAAAAATTGTAAAATTTGTGAAACTAATATTTTAGGTAATAAAACAATTTAACTAAAAGTTATTTGGATTGATGAAGATATGCTGCTGTTCATGTCCATATCTGTAAATGCTGCTGGTAGTTCTGTTTTAAACTTACGAGTCTAAAGTTTTAATGCATTTGACTTATTAAAGTTACGTATGTTCAACATGCTGTGTGTTTATTGCTTAGTACAGTTTGTTCACCTGCAGGTAAAGCAGTCTTCACTATTAAAAGGAAACCTCTGTCCACACGAGGTCTGCGCTGAATCTTAATATTGCTCGGTTTGAAAACGAACATTCAATTTCTTGGTTTTAAGTTTCTGTCTGAGGTTTTAGATGCTTTTTTTACTGAATCCAAAGATCTAAAAAATGAGTTCTTGTACAAACCATACCTGAGCATGGAGACCAACACAAAATACTTTCAATTTGTGAATTAAAGTGTAACCGGTATATGTTAAACTGCTAATAATTTACACGTTTTGTGTTTTGTTTGGTGTTTGGCAGAAGTTTTAGCAGACTTTTATTTTCCTGTGACATATCTCCAACTGAAATTGAATATTTAGTAGGGGGCGGGGTTTATTTTTTGCTCCTTAGTCTCATCTTAAACTCTCAGCAAACTAACTTAGCTTGGAGGGGCGTGGCTAAGTATATTTCAGCCAATCAGAGAAGGACTGCCGCTCCACAAGCAGATGGATATATGCAGTGGATAAACTTGCACTGTTAAATTGTTCACTTTAAGACTAAGAAATTATCTCTAATGATACAAATGTTATGAAATAACACATCTGACAGCATTTTTTATGAACCTTTGTTAATGTTTATGATTGTTCAATTCTGCCAAGATTAAGGTGAATAAAAGCTGTGGGTGTAATCATTTTTTGCAAAAAACAGATGCGCACAACTAGAAAAACTTGAAGGCAGGTGCACGATCAAAAAACAAACATTAGTAGCAAAAGATTCAAAGTAAATCGGCACACTGCCACTTTAGCTCTCAAAGAAAAAATTTTAATGTCAATATCACAACGTTTCGACCGACATGGTCTTCATCAGGTGACCTGATGTAATCATCTAACTATGTTTATTAACTAAACTAATGTAATCATTTTCTAACATGCTTAACTAGTGTTAATTTAATATACATCATTACTATGAGACCATGGTCATCACAACAAAACATCTGAAAATAATCAAAATCAAATCTTTTTGCCAATGACGTGCCAAAGAAAGTATTTTTATTCAGGTTAACTTCATCATAATTAACTAACACTAAAACAGATGTACATGGACATCAAACTATACAGACATCGTAAAAAAAATGGATGCATCTAGCGAAACATGTTTATAACTAAAATGTAAACAGATATTAAAAAAATATTAATAAAAAACATTTTTTTTTTAAATCATACTGATCTAATTCCAGTGACACATTTTCATTTATTTTGTTTCATCACAAAAAATAAACAACAAAAATCCAGGCAGGAACAGAAAAAAGAGGGCATGATGAACTTTACCAAACAGATTATAAAGCTAAAACAGCTGTAAAGCATGCATGAAGCATTTACATGAGTCCAGAACAGTCTAAACACTGAAGCAGTCAGTCAGTCACACATCATCATTCCTGTGCTCATGCTGCAGAAATAAAGCTGGAGTGGCCAACAGAGATGAGCGTGTGTTTGTGAGAGTGTGTGTGTCCTCATGTGCTGCTGCTGCTGGCGGCTGTAAACACAGGACCTGAATGAACACCGTCTCCTGCCACTTCACCCATGGCCTGCAGAGCCACGGTCGCCGCCATCGCCTTCGCATGCTTCTTATTAGGACTCGCAGACTGAGGCTGATAATCACTGCCGTTCACCACCACCTGACACACACACACACACATTTTATTAATTTACACACACATATACGAAATTATTAATAGATAAAATAGGAGAAATAACACACACACACAAAGTTGAAGTCAGATTTATTTCCCCTCTTGTGAATTTTAAAATATTTCCCAAATGATGTTGAACAGATTCAGGAAATTTTCACAGTATTTCCTCTAATATTTTATCTTCTGGAGAAGGTTCTATTTGCTTTATTTTGGCTAGAATAAAAGCAATTTTAATTGTTTAAATCAATTTTAAGCTCAATATTATTAGCCCTTTAAGCTATATTTGTTTGGATTGTCTCCAGAACAAACCACTGTTATACAATGACTTGCCTAATTACCCTAACCTGCCTAGTTACCCTAATTAAGCCTTTAAAAGTCACTTTAAGCTGAATACTATATTAATAGTTAGTAAGGTAGTAGTTGTGTTTAGGTATTGGGTAGGATTATTGATGCAGAATAAGATTATAATTTATAACTACTAATGAACAGCTCATTTCTTAATAATAGGCAGGTAATGAGCCAGTAAATAGCATAAATCATGAGCTAAACTAAAGTGTTACCTTGACATCTACTGTATATTGAATGCAGACTTCAGGCCAGAACACTGACCTTAAAGAGGAAGTTCTTGCGGTGGTCTGGACCACTGTGGTGGACCATCACAAACTCCGGCTGAGGCCATTTCTTCTTATTACACATCTCCATCAGAGCCGACACCGGATGCTTCCCTGTGGAGAAAACACACGCACGCACACACACAAACACACACTTTACATTTCAACTCACATCAGACAGCTGGACTGAGCACTGCTACAGTAAAAATCAGTAAAGGTGACCTATTTTTGTACAAGATCTCGGGTCTCTGATGTCCCTGGAGTGTGTTTGTGTGAAGTTTCAGCTCAAAATACCACACAAATAATGTTCTCTAACTCTCTGAAGCTGACCCTTTTAGGCTTTGATCCACATTGTGGTGTTTTGGTGACCGTCGCTTTAAATTCAAACGAGATTGTGAAGCGTGAAAACTGGCGTACACAAAGCTTTTGTGCATACACATGAGGCCTCTGTTGTCTATGGAGACTCCTGTGTTGTTCAGTTATGCCTCATGGGCTAATAGGGCTGCTGTTCTGGCAATCTGTTATGACTATTAGAGATGTACGTTACAACTAATGTTTATAAATAATGTTCATTGCATGACTTTAGTGTCATGTGTGTTATCATGATGGTCTTTAGCAGTTAGTCGGTATCATTTAGCAGAATGATGCTCAGTGCTTCTATATACATGTATATGTTGAACTCCTCCAGACACTCACCTAGAAGATCCTTCATCACCACAATGTTGCCAGATTTCTGTGTCTTTTCCCCTTCTGCTACAAGCCCTGAGAGAATAAAAACATCATTATTATTTTTGCACTAACTTACATCACAAAGTTCTCCTGAAAACCAAATGAAAACTGAATCATTTCTTAATGAACACTGATCCCGCAATGCAAACCTGGCAACCCAAAACCGTTGCAAATGAGCGAGTAAAACCATCTGGCAGCCCCTCATTATTAAATTCACATATTAAACTTTAAGTTGCTGCACTTTTATTTCGTATTTCCAACTTAAACGGGTTTTTTTAGGGAGGAATTCAGCAATGGACTCTGATATCTTGACTCTTTTCAATATCGTGCAGCCCTAATACAGTATATATAACTTTAGAATGTTCATCTTTTACTCTCCTGACTTTACTTTCTTAATTTTCCACGTATTGAAATGTCCTTCTGTCTTCTTGTGTTATAATGTATGTAGGTATGCATTATATTCTTGTCGTTGATCCCAGTTGTGAGAGCAACAAATAATAACTTGACTTCTTGTTGATCATTTGTTAAAGTGTCAGAAAGTGGATTTCTCAACAGAATCATCTGCTGATCTGCTGATCCCAATCATCACAAACACTGAAGACCTACTGGAACCAGCATGGACCAAGATTCTCACAGAAATCAGTCAAGTTTGGTGAAGGAGAAATCATGGTTTGGGGTTCATTCAGTATGGGGGCGTGAGAGAGATCTGCAGAGTGGATGATCAACATCAACAGCCTGAGGTATCAAGACATCTGTGCTGCCCTTTACATTACAAACCACAGGAGAGGGACAATTCTCCAGCAGGATAGCGCTCCTGCTCATACTTCAGCCTCCACATCAAAGCTCCTGAAAGCAGAGAAGGTCAAGCTGCTCCAGGATTGGCCAGCCCAGTCACCAGACATGAACATTATTGAGCATGTCTGGGGTAAGATGAAGGAGGAGGTGTTGAAGATGAACACAAAGACTCTTGATGAGCTCTGGGAGTCCTGCTGAAGGCTTTCTTCTTCATTCCAGATGACTTTATTAATCAGTGGTTTGAGTCATGTCAGAGATGTATGGATGCAGTCCTCCAAGCTCATGATGGAGTCAGACACAATATTCATTCTGTCTCCACTGCAGCAGGACTTTATATTCCATACTGGACATTATTTCTTTTTTTTTAAATTTTTTATCAGATTTTTTGACAGTTAACAAACAAAGTAAAAACAGACAATAACAGTACAAAAAAATAAATAAATAAATAAAAAAAAAAATATATATATATATATAACAGTACAACATTGTCAAAAAAAAAATTTTAATAAACCACTCTATAACCCTCATATTGTGCGACACACAGTATATGACATGTATAAACACTACATGATGTGCATAAATCAATTTTCAAATTGAGCATATAAACAGTTCTGTACCAGACGTTGAGGTTGACAGCATGGTGTATTAAGTAAAATAAACAGCAATAATAAAATACAATAAAATAAATAAATAGAAAAAAAAAGATAGAAAAGAAATTTAAAAAAAAGCGAGAGAAAAATGGAAAATGTATTAAACTAAATAGGCTGGGGGGTGGCACGTTCTTAAAACTTGTGGTTTTATGTCAAGAAAAAGTTGTATGTTTGTGCTATATCAGCAGCACTAATACTCAACTGGAAGCACAGATCCAAACAAAATGCAAGAATGGCAACCATTCACTCCACAGTAATTGCCTCAGGTCTCAGAGATTTGACATGATCCAAATATGGCAACCAAATATTAGAAAATTTGACCACTGAACCTCGAAGACTATGTTCAATTTTTTCTAATTTAAAAAAAAATAAGGCAACTTTAATCCACTGAGTATGGGATGGGGGTTGAGGAGACTTCCACTGCAACAAAATGCACCGCCTAGCTAATAATGACAGAAAATTAATCCAGAAAAATAAAATGGTAACTCACAGGCAGGGGGAAGAACTCCTACTGGACATTATTTCTGTTCAGTGATGAGACTTTAGTCTGAGCAGAGTCAGACCTCACTGTGCTGATGAAATCATTCAACATCAAGACATGATCAGATTTTATTGAGCTCAAATAAGCAGAATCTAGAGGCCTTTGCCTTTTATATAAGACACTTCTGACACCTAATCATCAACTAGAAGTCAAGGTATTATTGGTTGTTCCTAAAACTTGCATAGGCGAAAAGACTTTAGTCAGGTAGTGTATGTATGCATGTACCATAAACTTCTGAAAACCACAAAAAAAAAAATCATTGTGTGTTTGCGCACACTTATAATAAACTTAAAACAGTGAAGGTAAAGTCTTAATTAATTAATTATGAGTTTTTTGGGTGAGTTTTAAATGTGTCATTAGGTTATACAAGGTTGGACCTGTCACCTTTGCATTTCTCTGATGATTTTATGCATCCTCTTACCCTTGCGGTCGGTCTTGAAGTCAATAATGATGGGCTCCACCGTTCCTTCCCTGTGCTTCCCTAAACCCTCCCCTGATCTCCATCCCATCTTCCTCATCAGGAACTCTCCCATTCCACCCGACACCGGCGCCGCCCGCAGGAACTGGTCCTGGATATAACAGACAGATTCAGACAGAGAGAAAGACAGGGGAAAAAACCAAGAGAGAAACGGCACGCAGTGAGAAATTCACTCATTCTGAGACTCCACGTCATCTTACTTCAGCCGGAGCTGAGTTTATATTTATATATATTAGATAAAAGAGCCTAGTTTTAATACTTGAAGTTATCAAAATATATAAAAAATAAACTTATTGAAATGTTGAGTCCTTCATTTCTCACCTGCAGCAATCTGTAAGGCTAAACAAATGGATAAATGTGCACTGCTGGTCAAATGTTGATTTCATTTAGCATTTTTTTTATGATAAAGATCACTAAGTCTCCATTTACTTAATCCAAATGCATTAAAATAAGCTGTAATATTGCTAAATATAATTACAATTTAAAATATCTGTATTATATTAACATTTATTTCAAAATATAATTTATTTCTTTATTTATTTTCAGGATAATAAATCCAGTCCACGGTGTCACATGACCCTTCACAAAACATGATTTGAGATTATGTGTTTTAATAATGATGCATTAAAGTGATCAAACATGAACATGTAAAGATCAAATGCTTCAAGGCTTTTGTTAAAATATAGGTATTCTGTCAAAGATGCTAAATATCATTTTCCACTGAATTATTAAGCAATAACAACAACATCAACAATAATAATAATATTACTAGTAGTAGTAGTAGTAGTAGTAGTAGTGGTAGTAGTAAAACTACTTTTAATGAAAGTAAAAATAACACTATCATTAATGATTAAAGCAATATTAATAATAATAATAATATTAATATTAATAATAGTAAATAAGTTTTCACTAAATATTTGAGCAACTACTACAACTAATATTAATAAAAATCTGTAATAAAAATAGTAATATTAATAAATCAGAATTTATCAGTTTCCAATAAATAATTAGCAATAATAATAATAATAATAGTTGTCGTAAAATACTTTTGATGTAATTAAAATATTACTACTACCATCACTAAAAATAATAAAAAGTAATAATAATAATAGAAATAGTAATAATAATAAATCAGAAAGTATCATTTTCAATTAAATAATTGAGCGATAATAATAATAATAATAATAATAATAATAATAAAGACTTAATGAACATAAAATAATAAAACTACTACAACAAAAAATAAAAAAAACAGTAATAATAATAGTAATAATAATAAATCAGAAAATATCAGTTTCCACTAAATATTTAAGCAATAATAATTCTAATAATAAAAAATAATAATAATAATAATAGTAAAGATTTCATAATATAAAATATAACATCTATTACTACTACTACTACTACAACTAATATTAATAAAAAATAACAATAATAGTAGTAATATTAATTATAACAAATCAGAACATATCAGTTTCCACTAAATAATTAAGCAATATTATTATTAATAATAATAATAATAATAATAATAGTAGTAGTAGTAGTAGTAGTAGTAGTAAAAAGACTTAATAAAATAAAATAATAATGACACAACTACTACAACTAATAATAATAAAAACAGCAATAATAGTAATATCAATAAAAATAAATTAGAAACTATCAGCTTCCACTAAATAATTAAGTAATAATAATAATAATAATAATAATAATAATAATAACATAGTAGTAGTAAAAACTATTTTATCGAAAATACAAATAATACTATTACTATCACTAATAATAAAACAGTAATAATAATAAATCAGATCAGTTTTCACTAAATAATTATCAGATAAATAATGAAATAAAAATGAAACACAACAACAACAACAACAATAATAAAAATAATAAAAGTAAAAACTTAAAAGTAAAATAATAATAATAGTAATTTTAATAATAATAAATCAGAAAGCATCACAAAATAAGTAATAATAACAATAATAATAGTAAAAAGACTTTTCATAAAAATAATAATGATATTACTACTACTACAACTAATAATAATAATTATAATAAATCAGAAAGTATCAGTTTCCAATAAATAATTAAGCAATAATAATAATAATAGTAAAAAGTATTTTAATAAAAATAATAATGATACTACTACTATGACTACAAATAATAACAATTACAATAATAAATCAGAATTGCTTGTTGATCATCAAACCATCACATCATGAAGCTTTCTGAACGCTCATGTGACAGAAAACAGTAACAATAAATGCTATAATAACCATAAACTACAATAACATTCCCCAAAATCAAATTCCCATCTGCATTAACAAACAAACGCACTCAAAAACACATCTGACCAGCAGTGCATTACGATGTAACTAAATAACACATCTTAAGGTGTTTCTGTAAGCCTTCAACAGGCGAAGCAGCATCAATAACCGTCCCGAACAGATCTCAAGGCTTTGAGTCGGTTCAGAGCAAAAACAAACAGCAGCACACATGGCAGAAAAGCATCAGTTCACACACTAAAAATCAAATCAAAAATCCACATGAATAGAAGGAAGGGTGCTGGAGGACGTACGTACCTAGGCCCCCATCACCAGCCGAGCATCAGACGTGAATAGAAGGGGCCTGACTGTGACCATGGCAACAAGGCAGCTACAAGGACTGACCCTGCAACAAGTGTCCATACAGAGGGGTGAGAGTTCACAGGTCAGACTGTGAGCCCCCACCCCTCGCCCCCATCCATCCCTGCCCAAATCCCACCAACCCAACAGCACCCGCTGGCGCCGGATGCCCACAAAGAGCAAACATTGTTCTGATGGTTGTAGTTAGTGGATGATGGGTGACCCTTTGGGAATCAGGGGCCTGTATTCACAACACATCTTAGGGATAATAGTAATTTGGAGAAAATCAGAAGAAATAATGGGTGTCAATGAATTTAGGACTTCTACAAGGCCAAAAAGAGCAAACATTGTTCTGATGGTTGTAATTAGTGCATGATAGAAAGGAAGATGAACCCCCATATTCCCAAAACATTTACATTTCTACATTTAGTCATTCAGCAGATGGCTTTGTCAACAAATTACACTTAGGAAGACATTTAGCAATTCAAAAAACATCTTAAAGATCCCATGAAATGAAAAGAAAACAGTTTAGAAGTTAGTTTCAGTCTGTTCGGGAAATCTATAATCTAGTGTGCTCCAAAACAGAGACAAAATTCGGGTTTAGAAAATATAAAACTGTCATAAACATGCAAAGTTTGTCACTTCCGCCTAAATAAATGAACAATTTTTTTCTCATCTCCTCGTACTTCAGTTTCTCATCAAATCTTCTGACCAATCAAATGCTCTCTAGTATCAGACTAACCACGCCCCCTTTTTACATGCATTCATTGGATGGGCTTGAGCTTAACCACTCACTGGCAGAGCTGTGAGGAAAAACAAAGGGGAGGAGCTACTCTATGTCCCGCCCTCTCTTTTTTCTCTTCTTTAAGGAGAAAAGTTTTAGGGGGAAATTTAGGACTGCTATATTTCTGCTGTAAGAGTGTTTCAGCACTAAAACTAGCTCCTAATTAGTAGTTAAGAGACTCCTAAATCCCTAAAAGAACAAACTATGCTAAAATGAATGCTGCCAGAAAATCTGCCTAAGAAAAAAAACATTTTACAATCCCTCTCGGATTTTGGAGGGATGGGTTTTTTTTATATTTGTGGCCTAAAATAAAGACTTTTTAAGGATGATTTTTTTTATTTATTTTTTTTTTTATTTAGTTTTGTTCAATTCTATAAAAATATACAAACAAAAAAATATTGTGCAAACCATTGGACTGGAGGAAATTATTAAAAATAATAATAATAAAAAAATAAATCACACAATGAGATTTTAATGTTCAAATTTAATAAATCTAATTCGTAGAGTTATTCCCATAATGTAAGAAATATGTTTTTGAATATATTTTAACATTTATATAAAAAATATAAATAAATAAACAGGCTAAAACATAAGCAAACATATGTTCTGTAAATCTAAAGTTGACTTTTTTTCATATTATTTCAAATATATATTTCTAAATATATTCAAAAGACTTTAAAATGTATTTGCTAAATAGTTTTTATTTAATTGAATTTTTAACTTCACTTAATTAAACTATTTTTAATATAAATTGTTTATCAACATAATATCAGTTTCCATGAACGAATCTCTGACAGAGACTCCTCCCCCTCCCCATCAGCCAACCACTGTGTGCATAGTTAATTAGGCACGATGTCATCATAATCCATAGAAAACAAACTCAACCCCGTCCTCACTCTTAGCTTAAACATCTCTATAATCCACAGTAAAGTTTGTCTCAGCATCTTTGTGAACAGATTTTAAACTGTCACTGATATTTAAGAGAACTCCTAGTGCTAAAATTAAATGTATTGTGAATACAGACCCAGTTTTACACAAAAATAAGGGTGCAAATACTTATGCACATTAACCTTTCGGTATCATTTGAACAATTTAGATCTAGCTCTTTAAATAAAGCGTGAGCGCTAAACACAGCACACATCAGGTTTCATAGAGTCTGTTGTATATCCAGGGAAAGTTTCCAATTCTGTTACACTGCCCTGGACAGTCCGGCTGAATTTAGTTGCGTTAATGCTACAGTACCCATGGTGTTTATTTAGCTCAAAGTTATCCAGGGTCTAAATTAAAAAAGGTATTAATGTAAAGGTCTGCTAAATGTCTATCTGCGAAAATTAAGAAACACAAAAAAGCTTTCATTTTAAAAATGTAATAGTTTTAATACAATACAAGATTTTACTGTGGTTAAAGGTTTTCACAAGTCCCTAAAAACCTTATAATAATGTCACTCTAGTAATTAATCGTTTCTATAAAAAAGTGACAGAAGCATCAATAAGATAAAAAGCAATATTAATACTAAATAAATAATTAAACTAGAGTTCAAAATTTGAGGTTTATTATATATATATATATATATATATATATATATATATATATATATATATATATATATATATATATATATATATATATATTTTTTTTTTTTTATATATATATATATCTATTTTTTTTTTTTTTGTGTGTCTCTGT